CTCACATTCGCGAGCAGCCCCTTTTTCTTACTCATTCGTAGATTCCTCTGACAAAATCTCTAAATTCTTTCAAATTCGGATAAGGATCAGGTAATTGCTTCTTATTCCTTACCGTTAATGCTTTACAATGCTCTTTTGGATTCGGGTCAGGCATACTTGTCAATGTCCCTTGCTGCCTCTTTGAAGTGTCACGAGCAATCTGCCCTACTTGCACCTCCAGATTTCGCATCGAAGCTTGCAATTGGTGAATGGTCTGTTGTTGTGCCAAAACTAAGTCCTTCAAGCTCAAGTCATCCTGTCCTCTTGTGTTGTGCTGCTGTTGAGGATGATATGGTCAATTTGCTATTTGTTGCGGCTGTTGGTAAGTGGTTTGGTTACGGTTTTGGTTATATTGGGGTTGGTGATGAGTTTGGTATTGTTGGTTATTTTGGTAGTATGAATTTGGTTGAAAGTGTTGTGGTTGAGGCTTGTAGTATGAAGATGAAGCACCGTCAGAATTCCTCAGCTGATTTTTGATAGAATTTATATCCCCGATTTGTTACTCGTTCCTTTTACAATGCATTGTCTCTTGGATATTTCTTTCCAATAAGTGACAATTTGTTGTCTCATGGCAGCCATGGCACAATTCGCAACGAGATGGAACAGCCTGTCGCTTTTTCAAAAAATTTACTTCCCTCATCAATGCATCAAGCTTAGAGTCCACTGCTACTTCTTTATCGACTTCGTACAACCCCCTAACCTTTCCCTGAGCAGCCTTTTTTCCAGGAAATTTCTTCATGTTTTCTATATTCTTCTCGATGATTTCCTTGGCTCGAGTAGGTCCAACAGAGAGGAACAAGTCACCAGCGGCAGCATCAAGTAAATTTCTCCATTGCTCGGTTAGTCCATTGTAAAACAAGTGGACCTGCTGCCAATCAACAAAACCATGATTAGGATAACGAGATAACAATGAATTATACCTGTCCCATGCATCTTGTAAGCTCTCATCCTCCTCTTGGATAAATTCTTTAATTCGCTCTTGCAATTCTAATACTTTCGCCGGTGGGAAAAATATGTCCAAGAATATACGCAACATTTCCTCCCAAGTACTAATCTCACGAAGCGCCAAGGTGTTATACCATGCCTTTGCTTTATCTCTCAAAGAAAATGGGAATAAACGAAGCTTAACAGCATCTTCTGAAACTCCATTCAGTTTCACAGTGTCGCATAAATCAAGAAATGTTTTGATATGATCAACAGGATCATTCGATGAAGATCCATTGTATTGGTTGGACTGCACCATGGTTATGAGGGCGGGCTGAATCTGAAACTGATCAGCGTTAATAGTAGGCCTCGAAGTTCGATTCAACCTTGTGTTGTTTCCTCTTTCTAAATGATCCTGAATTGTCCTTTCTGGCGCAACTGGTCCATTTTCCTGATTATTTCTTTCATGACCATTCATGTTGTCTAGATTCTGGCCTGAGTGAAAGGGATATTCAGAATTACTTCTTGACAATGACTCAAATTCACTGCTTTGTCTTTTTTCGTCGTCAGATGATGAATTTACATACACTTCAACCTGATGTGATCTTCTACGCTTATTGAGCCGATTTTCCCTACAAGTTCGTTCTATTTCTGGATCAAAGAACAATTCACTCCCTCGAGCACTTCGCACTACAAGAATAATAAATAAACAATTAAAGAATCTAATATATATATAGACACGCACAACTATACAACAATATATACAATACTCAACTTCAATAAACTTCAAACACGCAAAATTTTCTTTAATTCCCCGGCAACGGCACCAAAAACTTGATACTTAAATATTTTATTGCAATTTATCGCAAGTGTACGATATCGCATCAAGTAATAAATCGGTAACTATACCAAGTCGAATCCATAGGGAATTAAATATATTCGTTCATATTCTGGAATTTTATGTCATTTAAAGATTAATTCAATTGAGTTAAAATGAATAAATGTCGATTTGACAATTTTAAATCCTAAATTACAGAAATTTAATATAAGCACCTAAATTCTATTATCAAAGATTGCACAACCTGCTATATTATAATGAAATATATGATTTAATGATTCAGATTCAATAAATTTTAATGCCATTATGAAACTTTAGAGTCTAACATATTTTATGCATTCTCATCTCCCGACATGAAAGCAATTCAAGTCAAATGCTATAAGTTTGCAACATTCCCATAAATGGTACTAGTTATAAGATAATTAATAGTTCATTTAACTTGAGAATAAAACCATTAAAACTTATGAATTACATTCAACCGATTCATATTCTATCCGGAGTAGAATTAAACATATCCAGGAATTTATTACACATTAAGAATATTAAAGAAAATTCGGCAACCAGAATTAAAATATAAATTCATATTAATCACACAAATTTAATATTCTCTTATTCATGAATATAATTTCTTAATTGTGTTCTCTATCTTTCCCAAGATCATGAGAAACACTATTAAGAATAACGAATGGAAATAGTCTCCCGACAAATTCCCATTATTAATATTTGCATATAAAATCGAATACGTTCCCAAATATGGTACTCATATCCTTAAATATGTTGTGTTTCCCAACAATCAACACATCAATTAAATGTATGCAAAAATTTAAATTTTAATTCAAGAACAAAATAAATATTAAGCTTTCATAATTTAATATCGCTACTTCCCGGATGCAAATAACAATTTCATACTTCAAGATCCAATCCAACTCCCGTCTTTGATTGCAGGATGAAATATATATATAGATTCAATCCGGTCGCGAAACTTTAATTCCTAAACTAAAACTAATGTAGCAATCTTCGAACAGAACTTCCTAATTAATATAGGACAAGAAAAGAAAAAAACATTATCTAAGGATGAAAAGAAGTACTGCGTGCATCCAAACGAGAGATTCTCTTAATTCAAATTTTTTATTTTTTATTTTCTTCTCTTCCTTTTTCTTCGTCAAATCGATCTGCTTCTTTTTCCCTTCGCACAACCTTTATCTGAATAATCGCGTCTTTAATTTTCCAACTTCTTCACCAAGATGCGCAGAGATTATCCACACAAAATCCATAATTATTATTATTATTATATTATTATTATTATTATTATGTCCTGTCTGCCTGCCCATTGCTTATCTTCCTAAACTCTTACACTCCCATCACATTATCTCCGTCTTTGTTATCTTTTTCAACCAAACATATGCCCCAAACCTCATAAATTTTCTATACATAAATCAAGACATAGCGAAGGTTTTAATATAAAAGACATCCATAGTCAAATATATGCATAATTAACTAAATATTCTACAAACTATGATATTAAATTTAAATTAAAAAAAAAACAAGCTAAAAATATTACATATTTGCATAAAATAAAAGAAATTAAGTCTAAATAGACAGACTTTTTAATGTAGATGACGACTAAAAGATAGCATCCAATGGATGCTATAAGATGTTGGCTCTCAATAGGCACCACAATAGGTGGCGTGGTGATGGTAGCATGATCAACGGTGGAGCGGTGGCTTGCTCGTGCATTATTTGAGCTTGCAAAACCTGGGGTTGCTTGTTATGTTAGTTTAATTAATTAATTAATCATATTTGAATTTTGATTAGTTTTTTAATTATCTTATATAATTAAACTAACCTAAAATTGTGGCCCACTTTTCTCCCATTAAGTCTATCACATTCAAAATATACGTGAGAAGTGGCAGAAAAATCGTGATGGACGGTTTCTCTTTTTTATTATAAATACTCTCACATACGGGTTACTAAACCTACTCTCAGAAAATCAGAATACACCATCGCTATTTGAGAGCCAGGGTTTGGCAACATCGTCCTAGGGTTCCACGATCTGGCACTATCTTCGGAGGTTTCCAAAGTTTGGCAACATCCTCCCAAGGGTTCCAAAGTCTGACAACACCGTCTTCCCACGGTTCCAATCCACGTTTTGCTTGGAGAAGAGAATATCGAGAATAAATCTAATTTTTAGCAATGGCAGGAGGTTTGTTTAAATTTCGCTTCCGCTAACATATTTGATTATATGTTTATTTTCTAACATTTGGTATCAGAGCAATTTTTGCCTCTGCCTTGCTTAGAATTTTCTTCTCATCAAATTCTTGATCAAGATTCGCTTTAAATTCTTATTTGAAAATATTTTGGTTTTCTATTTTCAACAATTGTTTTGCGATATTTTCTTGATCAAAATCCGATCCTGCGATTTGAGAAAATTTCATTATGTCTTTGAGAAAAAAATTTTAAATTTTATTTTGAAATTAATTTATGCAAAAGGATTCTTCTTCTGTAAGGTCTTATGTACACTTCATATCTGTGTCAACTTGTATGTGCAATTAATTATCTTGAGGAAGCTTTTCCGTGTTAAATTATTGAGATATTTTATTAAATCCCTTGCATGTTTGCGCTGACTATAGTGTCGCGTTTGAATTAATTATTATGTTGGGCATAACTCAAGTGGTTGTGAGGCATTGAATCCTTTCCAATCAATTAATTTGATTGACTTTTGTTTCAATTGCTAATGAAATTGCTCGCCTCGTTTTTTGGGTATTTGAAATTGGAATAATTGATTGTTAAAATATCAATTAATTAACGCTAACGAGGATATATATATAATTAATTGCATCTATTATGGTGTTTGCTTGAATTAAATGATTGCAAAGAAATTAATTAATGATTGACGGCATAAAACAACAATAAAGCATTTTAGCTTTATATATTATGGATTTATTCAACAAACAATCACAAAATTTAAGTATTATGTTGTTTCTGCATGCAATTTGTGATTATGTATATTTATTTATTTTATTGTTAATTTTGTGAATGAAAAGAATGTCAAATGTCATTCTTATCCATATATGCGTGCATGTCCGCGTGTAATCATACTGTGTTGTACAAATTGAGAGGATATATTTGATTATGTCTGTGCAATTTTATTTAATTGGAATCAGTATGCAATCATATATTATTTTTGCATCTTTAGAAA